GTTTAGTTGCTATTGACCATGTTTAGTTTTAGGATATAAATAAAGGCATTATATAAAATATAAATATATAAATAAGACAGGCATACAATATCTGCCGTGAAGCAGTAATGCGTTTCGGTTTGAAGGATGGGGCAGCCGTTGTAACTATACTGAGACCTTTGAACTTATATCTCAAGGTGGGTGGCGCATTTACGTTGTAGATGTCTATTGGCTTCGGTAACCACTTAACACGAGGTGGGCTGTGAGCTAGTCCACCCATCTAAGTAATAAAAAAAAAGTGCAGTAATAAAACTGGAAAGCAGGGATAAATGCAATACAAAAAGAAGAAAAAACAATGATAATGTACTGACTGCTTGGAGTTGGTAAACTTGTACACACTGGAAGGCATATTTTCTTGCACAACCCAGTACAGATAATATTACTGAGATGATGAGAGTAAAGGTCCAAGTCACCCCTGTCCTGGTGAAATTGGAAAGGCCTTTGGACCACCAGTAATCCTACCATCCTAAAAAAAAAAAAACATTTTACCAGTTGGGATGGTAGTTTCAGTTTATTTGGTTATGTTAATCGTGTTGTGATTGATGAACCATACATTGCTATTTCTCCAATAATATTTGCCTTATTTTCGTCATAATTATTTAGAATAAATTTGCTGTCCAATAGCTGGTATTTCAACTCGCCATAACAATAAATATTAAATTAAGTGTCAAACAGATACTGTGACTATATGAGTCAATGAACCTAATTTTCTTTAATTATGGTAATCTTGACGCTTGATCATTTTGTTCGTGATACGGCTACATGTTCCCGACCTTGGATATAATTTTAGAGGTGTTATAAAATGAAGAAGAACGAATAACAAGAATGAACAATGAACAAGAATCATGATTGTATGATTCCATCATGCAAAATCTGAATGTAGGTAAAATACAATAGCTTTTTTCCGTGCAAATATATTTTACAGGAGAATTTCGTCTACAAAATACCTATTTGATCAACACATGATCCGTGCTCACGAACGATTTACACGTGAAACCCGCAAAATTTATAAATAATGTGATTGCTTTTTGTAGGGCGGGTTCATATTGTCAACCCGCTCATGTAGATACTGCCTTTCTGCCTATTTCTGTTGTGAAGCAGTCATGCATTTCGCTTTGAAGGGTGGGACATTGCATCAAGCAAAATCGAATCTTGTAACTCGTCGTTGAATTTCGGTGATGGTGGTTATTAGATGGCAATTTTAAGTTTATCTTTTTTTTTTATTGCAATGGGTGGACGAGCTCACAGGCTATCTGGTGTTAAGTGGTTACTGGAGCCCATAGACATCTACAACGTAAATGCGCGCGACCCACCTTCAGATATGAGTTCTAAGGTCTCAAGTATAGTTACAACGGCTGCCCCACCCTTCAAACCGAAACGCATTACTGCTTCACGGCAGAAATAGGCGGGGTGGTGGTACCTTCTCGTGCAGACTCACAAGAGGTCCTACCACCAGTAATTACGCAAATTATAATCAAATTATAAGAAAATTATATCTTCAATTATTTTGACAATTTAATCAGTTTACTAATTTGTACATTCGAAACAATAGAAAATATCGCATAGGAATTGTTTAAAATTTTCCACGAAGTGTACTGTCAATAATGACGTTAACGACTAGGCGGTGACAGCGCGGCCATTTGTCAGCTGTCATTTGTCAGCTGTTTGTCAACCACAATGGTGTCAGGCGGCGCGAGGACGATTGACGCGTGTCACTCTAGAGTTGTACCACGGGAATACGATTGCTTTTATGTTTTGATGGATACTGTGACGCAATGGCAAAAACTGGAACCCTTGAAATTTCCACGTGTTAATCGACAACAGCAGTGTTATTAAAGATTACCTGTTAACTATAGAAGATAGTACTTAAAAATAAAATAGTTCGCCCCGAGTCGTCAGTTGAAGCCAGTGCACTATTGACATCCATCAGTCTTCTAGGTCACTCTTCTAATTCAGAAAAACAAACAACTCTGCCAGTGCTTCAAATATCGAGCGGACATTTAAATTATGTAAAAAAAAATAAACTCAAATAAATTGCCTGTTTAGTTTTAAATTAAGGCCGTACGACCCTAAAACTACATGTAAAATTTATATTAAAATCTTTACATTAAATACTTGAGTGTTTCTGCCTGATTTAGTCTTACTATGCAACCGAACCTGAATATCAGCCCGCTGAGTTTCTCGCCGGATCTTCTCAGGATCGATTACGATCCAGTGGATTCATTCGCAAAGCAGCTACTCTTGAGTTGTTAGGTCTCCTTTGGAGGCGCTCGGGTGGCTGTTAGCGCAATCCCACCCCTCCTGGCTGAGCCCTTGTTCGCCCACCTGTCCTGGTGAAACTGGAAAGGCCTTCGAGTCACCAGTAATCCCTCAATAATAATATCGAGTTTAGCACCCGTAGTAGTTAGCCACATTTAATGATTATTCGTTTCGCACCTCGGAGCGTGTCCTTCGCCCTGCGCCAGTACAGCGACCTTCGAGCACGTCGTCAGCCAACCTCTATTGCAGCAATTAGGCCCCATTATTAATTAGGAAAAATGATTTATTGTGTGTTCTGATTTCCTAAAACCTTTTCATGAGATTATTAGTTTTGTTGTAAACATGGCACCAACCATACGCACTCACACTTTATGTTTTAAACGGTAGACTGTCAGACATGACGGGCATGACCCACTTGGCCCGTAGCAACAGAACGTGTATTTCGCTACCCCACATTAAGCAATGAAGTTGAATTCCCAACTACGTTGCAATAACAACTGTCCCAACCTTCATACGAAAACAGGCGACTGTCGCGAGCCTGAAATGGCAGTATGGTGGTAACTCAACTCCTGCGGCCTCGTAATATGCTCTAAGTCTTTTACGTCGTCGTGGCCTAAAGGATAAGACGTCCGGTGCATTCGTATATAGCAATGCACCGGTGTTCGAATCCGTCAGGCGGTTACTGGTCAATTACTGGGGTAATTACGGGTCAATTACTGGTGGTAGGACCTCTTGTGAGTCCGCACGGGTAGGGACCACCACCCTGCCTATTTCAGCCGTGAAGCAGTAATGCGTTTCGGTTTGAAAGGTGAGGCAGCCGTTGTAACTATACTGAGATCATAGAACTCATATCTCAAGGTGTGTGGCTGCATTTACGTAATAAATGTCTATGCGCCCCGTTACCACTTAACACCAGGTGAGCTACGAGCTCGTCTCCCCATCTAAGAAAAAAAAGACTAGTGAATTACGCAAAATTACCGGTGGTACGACGTTTTGTAAACCCGCATGGTTATATAGCGCCACCATACCTATTACTCCTGTGAAGCAGTAATGCGTTCCGGTTAGAAGGGTGGAACAGTTATCAACTGAGGCTTGGCGCCTAATGTGTAATTCATGTAGTGATGTCTATGGTCTCCAGTAACCAGTTTACCCGTCTAAGCACTACATTTATATTTGTGAGAGTTCAATGTTATTACACGATATTATTATTCGTTCATAGATAAAATCGTTTGTTTCAATACGCTTGTTTTTACATTAGCGCCTGTTTAGGGATTAAGCTCTCATTATTCAATTGGGTTTTACCTCATTAAAACTATGGATTAAATCACGACCGCTTCTAAAGTCCGTATACACTTATAAATAAAAACATATAAATAAATGGAATAATATTTTTGCCACAGCGTTGCAACAGTGACTAACGACTGCACCAGCTACAGGAACAATGCAAATAATTCAACAACTCAATCGCTTTATGCAAAACAGGAGGAAACTTCAGCGGTTATAATTCGTTAAGATTCGTTCACAAATACACTAAAAAATGCGGCATTAAAACGCTGCGGGCTTTGCTTACGTGCCGTGACTTGGGTTGGTGATGCGACGATAATTTTATTGTTGACTTTTTAATTTAAATGTTTGTTTATATTAACCTCTTAAAATAGAAAACATCAATGATTTGTATATGTAAATATGATTTTCGGCTCATCGAAAAATTACATAACAAGCAGTTATGTAACATGAGAGCCAATGTTATTGCTGTTGAATTCAGAGGAGGCTATCCGAATGTAACATGAGAGCCAATGTTATTGCTGTTGAATTCAGAGGAGCCTATCCGACTCAGTTGCGGTCCTCGATACCAAGCTCCTGTCTAACAGTAGACGGAGTGTTTCTATTTACTCCCTCCCTATTAACGACCTGGCCCGGTTTCGCCACGGTTAATCAGGGTATTATCCTGAAAGTATTATATAATAAAATATAAAACAAAAATTCATAAAAAAAATCACAAACTTTAAATAAGAATATTTAGTGTTGAACTTCCAACCCTCAATTCACATACTTAAGAATGCGTTTTTGAAAAAACGCGGATATGCCAGTCGGTACCAGAAATGGGTGGGTAATAGAAAATTTTGTAAACTTACTTTGAAAATGAGGAGCTTTCTTGCAACGTTTTTTTATACCCCTTAGAGATGAAATTTCAAAATAATTCTTTCTTGATGGATTCTTATCATATTAAAGGCATTAACCACCCAATTTTTTAAGTTTCTAGCCCAAGTGGTTCAGGCTCTGCGTTGATGATTCAGCCAAGACAAGTAATTGGACGGATATTCGTCCGGGACATTAAATATTAGGAACACAGCTGGGCATTTTTAGAGTCAAGTTTAAACCGGAAAGGGCATCAAAACGATGCACTTCAGTTGCACAATTTAAAGTTCCAATTTAGGCGGCACTATGCAATTGTAGTGCAACGTTTAAGGCCCCTTTGTAGACTTATCCTGACATTGTTGACGATCATCAAATATCCCATGAAATAGTCCACAATAATCGTGTATTTTTAGACGAGGTTCCGTGACGGAGTCTTCGGTTAATGTAGACGCCCCACGAGACCGCCGCATTGCTGTGCGATGCCCCGGTTTTAAATGATACGAATTTTAAGTAACTTGTAAATTTTAAGGATAAATTTCTCTAATTGTGTTCAAACATTCCAGATGTTATCTCTCCGCGATGATGATGATGACGACAAACATCTCTGCATCAAATGTAACGCCACGATCGTAGGCCTGGACAGCTACATTAAGCACAGAAAAGACAAGTGCGGCAAGGCCAAAGTCAACAAGAGACCTGATCTACCGCCAATCGACACTCTCGACCCAAGCTGCAGTTTGGGTGCTGACATCTTCTTCCAATCTCTAGAACTCCAAAGCAGTGTGAAAAAGACAAGTCTTACCCCACCCGTTTCTACAACGAAACCTTCTGATAGTAAGAATGCACCGTCCACATCCAGTCAAAGAGTAAGCCCACTGGATAGCCGAGGTGAACACTGGATTGGAGGCCACAGTTTGACCACAGATACCAGCGTAGACAATCATACTAAACTGATCAATGCCGTTGCAAGTATAAGCGGTTCCGTAAAGAAAGATGTTTCTTTTGATCTCTATGACGAAAGTGATGATTCGGAAGGCTCTGAGGACGATGACGACGATGAACACGTTAGCGGTCAAAAATGGAAACCGCCACCGAATTATACAGGAGGTAAATGGAGACCAACTTCACCCGACCAAGCTTGGAATCCAAACGATGGCGAGCAAACCGGTAAATGGAAATCTGATTTACCAGATCGCGATGAAGATGATGAAACTCCACCTCCAGGGCATACTAAAGGCAAATGGGTACCTGGAGCCAATGAGAAAACTCAGATTATGCAACCAATCATTCAGAGTAAGGGTTCCATACAGTACTGGTGTGGTCCTTGCAACAGACGACTTGGTTCCCGAGCGGTTTACGACAAACATTTAAAGTCCAGTTTACATATAAAGAAAGTTCTTCCCGAACGTGAATTGGAATATTCTGGTCATTTAAAACCAATCAAACCGAAGCGCACCATTCGTCCGTCTCGGTTTGTTAACGATGGTATATACACTCGCACTCAGAGGAAAAAAACAAAACCCACGAAAGTAAGCGTCAAAATACAATTGAAGAAGCGTAAAAGGAAAACTACTTTCATCCGTTGTATCGGTTGTGACTCCAGGGTGAGACGACACTTGATGGGCAAGCACTTGATTTCCCACTACCACTTTAGAAAAACAACCGCCGTAGATAGCGAAGTTTATCAAAAGCTCATACTCGACAACATTGTGGCTATAGTACACCAATCACCCTTCCAATGCAATCCATGCAAGTTTTACACTAATTGGCTATCGAATTTTATGCAGCATTGGTTCACAGAAGAACATCAAGAGAAAACAAATTTAATTGAGGGTAGATTCTGGTGTTCTTTTTGTAAATTCGAATGTGAGACTTCTCAAGAGATGCTTGACCACTTATCGAGTCCAACTCATAGCGAAGCTGTGGCCGTCGTCAACAGATCCATGCCGATCATCATAAGGAAGAAGACAATCTTCAAATGCGAGACTTGTTCAATGGAGTTTAAATATAATATTGAGATGAAAAAGCACAGCATCAAAACAAGTCATCCATTAGCTTATACTGGAACAGATGACTACCAAGAATTCCATCGTTGTCAGCATTGCAAAGTGAAGTTCAAATCTTCATTAACGTTGGCTGCCCATCTGAAAAGAAAGCACAAACAGAAAGCTTATTTCTGTCTCGTTTGTATGAAAACTTTTAATACTTCTTTGGAAGCCAAGATACATCGACAGACTTCTGAACACAGGATCAAAAGCAGAGAAAACCGCATCAGGCTAAAAGGAGGATCCACAAAGGACTTGAACAAGAAATGCCCTTACTGTACTGAGAAAGTCGTTTTGAGAAACATCTTGATGTTAAAGGAACATATTCGGATAGTACATCCCGATATAAGAAAAAAGTAAGGCTTTATTGGTGTATTTTGTTTTTTTTTTTTTTTTTTATTGCCCTTGTAGGCAGACTAGCATACGGCCCACCTGATGGTGAGTGGTTACCGTCGCCCATGGACTTTAGCAATGCCAGGGGCAGAGCCAAGCCGCTGCCTACCGCTAAACGGTAAACGAGCTCTTTGAGTACCGTATGACACGCCACCACCACGTCGAGGTGTAAGTGTCGTGTGCGTTGAGGGGTTGTGTGCATATATGAAACAACATTTATATGCACACAACCTTAAACCGCCCGCTGCGGTGACTCTTTGATAGACGAGCAGTAATTCCGAACTACCATCACTAATGCTAATTAAAAGATGATTTCGTAAAAAAGTCCTAAAAACTTTTCATGAATTTTCAGATGCCCCAAATGCGGAATGACCTTCATATTCTCCCAAGAAGTGACCAGGCATATCAGATCCGAAGCTTGTAAATTCCAACCTTCCTCTTCCAACGCGTCCATCTTTTGGAACTGCAGCAAATGTCTCTTTACGACAGACTCGCAAGCGGAATGCTTCTTTCACGAAGTTCTACACACCGAGCCGGTTAAAGAAACAAAAATAATTAAAGGAGTTGAAAAGGTCTTCCAAAAATATACGTGCCCGCTTTGCCCTAAGAGCTTTAAGAAGGCGTCCCTGCGTCAGCACTTGCGGCAACATACCTTTGAAAGACCATTTGTTTGCGGGACGTGCGGAGCGAACTTCACCAGGCAGACGACTTTGGTAAACCATCAAAAAAACGAGCACGGCACCACCGGCAAGATGCCCAGAGTGCCGATAGTTGAAAGAATCGAGGATCCGGATATTGATTGGGAATGCGAGAAATGTGGAAACAATTTTAATAGTAGGTGAGTGAGTCTCGTTGTTTGATTCTTCCAGGCTTGAAGTATTTCAAACAAGTCAGCTGCTCGTCGATGATTTGAAACGGAATAGGTATGTTATTTTAAAGTTGACCACTATTCTGCAACACAGCAGTAAAGCGGCAGATGTATCGTCCAGATCATTCAACTAACCTTCCCTCCCACCGAACATCTAAACCTCAACACATGAATACACAGAAATAAACCGCGAATCACACTGTCGGCTCCAACAACGACTAAACAGAAGTCCGCGTCGCGGCGGATGCGCTCCTTGTCAACTGTCACTACAATTCCTTCGCGCCGTCGTGACGCGATCATAACTTGACATGTACCACTTTGATAATGCGCCGAGAGCCCGTCATCTCGCCCGTCATCCCGCCCGTCATCTCGCCCGCCGTGTTGCCAACGCTGACATTTTTATGCCCTGCAGTAATAAATTCTTGCCCGGATGCACGCGATATTTTCAGCCGTTCGAAATATACGAGATAGGTACAGTTTATTGTACGCACGTGTTTGTTATTCGAGCTCTGATGTTGCGGACGGCTCATCGGAGTAATCGTGCGCTCAATTACTTTGGCCCGCACTTGTTTATTTGTGTCTATCTTATTTTATGATTAACTGATATAAACATGTAAAGAATGAAGTTGTTATATTGCACTCTATATTTATTCATCATTATTTAGTGTTTCGAATTTTAACAATGAATTCAATCAATCAATTAGACCTCTTCTAAAGTAATTTACTTAATGGCCAACAACGAAGTCAAACAACTTTAATTAAAAAATAACATAAAAAATCGTTGACACTATTTAACTGCAGAAGCGTTATACGTAAGTCAGTCTATGTTTGTAGTTAGGAAATTTCATCCTAAAGTCATTTGAAGGCTAAGTTCAATTCAAAGTAACCACCGCTCGTATGAATCAAGTCAACGCGTCCATTACAAAAGTTTAATCGTTCGCGAGCTGCAGTCCGCGCACACTGCATGCAGCGCCGCTGATGAGCCCAACTTGTGCAATATCTCCGCGTTATTGCCACTTGCATTAATGCAATTCTAAGTCAACCGGCGCGGGGTTGCCAGTTTGAGGTCTAGGAAATCTGCTAAGTCCTCCTAAAGGATGTTATTTGAATTTAGAACAGTTGGTTAAAAATGAAACTTGTTTTGTCGCAAATAGATAATTGAGAAATCATTTATTATAGAAAATAGTAACGTACCTGTAATAACATTGTTATATCTGTTTAGTTTTCAAAGCCTAAATTAAATAAGCCCGTATTTATCATATGAATATTACGAAATAACGAGTTTTCCATAAAGTATTATTTTCTCACGCATTCCAGATACATGGAGACTTCCGCCTCATGTCGTGACTCTTGTGCTATCTGTGGCTTCCGGTTATCACTTATTACCAATAAGCTTAGTGCGAGTTTTTTAACTTCTCGATCGCGTTAAAGTTAACTCAAATTTGTATGGAGTTGGAATAGCTCCCCTACGTTTGCTGCCAGGGGCACACTGGTGGGACCGGCATTCGTCTGCTCATCTGCAACAAATTAACATACGCAATTATAAAAAGAAACTTGGTATCAGAATTTTCAGTACTAAACATAGAAGTGAAGATTTTGAACGTCATTACGGATCCTCCCGGTCCATTAACGGTGCTTTTAGGCACCACAGGCACCGATCACCGTCCTCGTCGAACCCGTCGCTTGCGACGAAGGGCTCGACGAGCGAATTTAACCACAGACACAGCCCACTGAGTTTCTCGCCGGATCTTCTCAGTGTCGCGTTTCCGATCCGCTGGTAGATTCTGCGAAGCACTGTTCTTGCTAGGGCCAGTGTTAGCATCACTCCGGTTTGAGCCCCGTGAGCTCACGTACTAGCTAAGGTTACGCTGCAATAGCCTCTCAAGGCTATCAGCTATCAGGCAGAAAAAAAATCTGATAAGAAATCTCAAAAATATTTTTACTATCATCGGTATCCACCACTGTGCTTTTTACTATTTTTACTTTTTACGTTTTTTTTCTACTTCAGATCTGCTTTAACCCGTCACGTAGCTGTGGACTGTACTGAGCTTTCGAGGTCCGGTGCTATGCTGCAATGTCCACATGAAGAATGTACTTATGTGGCAAACACTATTAGTAAATTAGCCAGGTAAATACTGCATTTAGTCATCTTTACCGAGATTAAAGACATGTATATAGTGACATCTAGTATCTAGTGGCTGAACCATTAAAATGCAGCTACAGTTCAACTATTAGTAAGCAATAGTTACGATAGATGGCGCTAACATTTTTAAACTATTTCTTTAATTATACAACAGATAGATGTCGCGAGCATGCACTTAATTTTATTTATTATAAACAATTGCAGACACCGACGAACACATGGCGAACGAATAAAACACCACGAATGTCCCTTATGTTCTTTCAAGACGGACCAAGCTAGTCATTTCAAAAGGCACATGCTTTGTCACAGAGGAATCAAACCCTATGGCTGTCCATATTGCCAGTTTACATGTGGAAGTTTGGTAATTAATAAGAATACTCATTATTATTAGAATTAGAAAAATTCATAAATTAAGAAACGAATTAGAACAATATTTAAAAAGAATCAGATACATAGATCAATAGATATTTTTTAATCGTTTTTTTTTTATATTTGGTATAAAATATATCGAATAACGTCTTTAATTTTGAATAAAAGCAAATATGTTTTTCAGGAAAATCTACGAAAACATGTCCTTCGAAGCGGCCGTCATAAAGGTCTTTGTTTGTATAAGTGTCATATATGCAATTATCCTACTAATATGGCAACTAATCTCCGAGAACATTTGAGAACAGTACATAGTGATAAGTATGACTCTAAAAGCGCTACTGAAAGTGTAAGAACACATTTAATGGTGAACAAGTCAATCGAATGAACCACGAATACTGTGAATTTAAATGGATCTTATTCCTGCACGAAAACATTAAGTCAGTTGATACAAAAACAGATGGCAGCACTACTTCTAGGCTTTCAGAAATGTAATAATACAATTGGATTGACTGCAACTTTTTTAAACGACAATAGCTTTTTATATTATTGTGTAATAAATTGAAATATTAAAATTAAAGTTATTGAGTTGTTATTAGGTTTTAGGTTATTAGGTCTTACCATAGACCTATATTCAGTGGTCTTACGCCTACCTACCACTGAAGTAGGAAACCTATGGAAATGAAACGTCAACCAAAAATTCGTGCCACTGTGACGTCATCTGGCCACAAAACATGGCGGTTTTAGTGCTGCCCAGAAGATTGTAATGTTAGTAGGTTTTATCGATAAACGTGCTTGGCTTATTTTATTTTAAATATTGTTGAGTATGAATGTATTTGTAGAATTTATACTTTAATAGGAAGTAAGTATATTGTTATGTGCAAAGATGATGTGATTTAGATATTATGTGAAATCTAAGACGAGTTCGTGCTTCAAATTTTCCAAGTAAACGATATGACGATTTTTAAAATTTGCTACACTGATTTTATAAAGTTGTCGTTTGCCGCAAAACTTATAGATATGGCATAGTACAGTGCCATCAGCCCATTTCTAGCATGCTGAATGTTATCGTATTTTGAGTACGTGTTCTTCTTAGACTATTACAATCTATTTTAATTGTTTTGCTGACTCTAAAGTCCGTAACACACTACCGCAGCGCACCTCAAGGAAGGTGCACCGCACTACCGCACCGCACGCAAATTTTAAACTTATCAAG